GTGAGATGAAATAACAGAACACAGCGCAGTTTGTCAGAAAGCTTCTTTTCAGTTTTTAACTGAAGATATTTCCTTTTTCACCTTTGCCCTCTATGGGATTCCAACTATCACTTTTCAAATTCCAAAAGAACAGTCTTAGCGAAAGGCTTCTTGAGGGCAAAGCTGTAACTCTGTGAGACGAATGAACAGAACAGAATGCAGTTCCTCAGAAAGCTTCTTTCCAGTTTTTAACTGAAGATATTTCCTTTTTCACCATAGCCCTCTATGGGCTTACAAATATCGCTTTGCAAATTCCAAAAAAACAGTCTTAGCGAACGGCTTCTTGAGGGGAAAGATGTAACTCTGTGAGATGAATTAACAGAACAGAGTGCAGTTTCTCAGAAAGCTTCTTTCCAGTTTTAAACTGAAGATGTTTCCTTTTTCACCATTGCCCTTTATGGGCTTCCAAATATCACTCTTCAAATTCCACAAGAACAGTCTTACGAAAGGCTTTTTGAGGGGAAAGCTGTAACTCTGTGAGACGAATTAACAGAACAGAGATCTGTTTCTCAGAAAGCTTCTTTCCAGTTTTTAACTGAAGATATTTCCTTTTTCACTTTAGTCCTCCATGGACTTCCAAATATCACTTTGCAAATTCCACAAGAGCAGTCTTAGCGAACGGCGTCTTGAGGGGAAAGATGTAACTCTGTGAGATGAATTAACAGAACAGAGTGCAGTTTCTCAGAAGGCTTCTTTCCAGTTTTAAACTGAAGATGTTTCCTTTTTCACCAGTGGGCTCTATGGGCTTCCAAATATCACTTTTCAAATTCCACAAGAACAGTCTTAGCGAAAGGCTTCTTGAAGGGAAAGCTGTAACTCTGTGAGATGAATTAACAGAACAGAGTGCAGTTTGTCAGAAAGCTTCTTTCCAGTTTTAACTGAAGATATTTCCTTTTTCACCATTGCCCTCTATTGGCTTCCAAATATCACTTTTCAAATTCCACAGGAACAGTCTTAGCGCAAGGCTTCTTGAAGGGAAAGCTTTAACTCTGTGAGACGAATTAACAGAACAGAGTGCAGTTTCTCCGAAAGCTTCTTTCCAGTTTTTAACTGAAGATAATTCCTTTTACACCATTGCCCTCTATGGGCTTCCAAATATCACTTTGCAAATTCAACAAGAAGAGTCTTAATGAAAGGCTTCTTGAGGGAAAAGCTCTAACTCTGTGAGATGAGTTAACAGAACACAAAGCAGTTTTTCAGCAAGCTTCTTTCCAGTGTTTAACGGAACATATTTCCTTTTTCACCATAGCCCGCTATGGAATTCCAAATATCACTTTGCAAATTAAACAATAACAGTCCTAGCGAAAGGCTTCTTGAGGGGAAAGCTGTAACTCTGTGAGATGAATTAACAGAACACAAAGCAGTGTCTCAGAAAGCTTCTTTCCAGTAGTTAAGGGAAGACATTTCCTTTTTCACCATAGCCCTCTATGGACTTCCAAATATCACTTTGAAAATTACACAAAAACAGTCTTAGCGAAACGCTTCTTCAGGAGAAAGATGTAACTCTGTGAGATGAATTAACAGAACACAAAGCAGTTTCTCAGAAAGCTTCTTTTCAGTTTTTGACGGAAGATATTTCCTTTTTCACCATAGCCCTCTAAGGGTTCCAAATATCACTTTGCGATTTCCACAAGAACAGTCTTAGAGAAAGGCTTCTTGAGGGGAAAGCTGTAACTCTGTGAGATGAATTAACAGAACACAAAGCAGAATCTCAGAAATCTTCTTTTCGGTTTTTATCTTAGAATATTTCCTTTTTCACCATAGTCCTCTATGGGCTTCCAAATATCACTTTGCAACTTCCACAAGAACAGTCTTAGCGAGAGACTTCTTGAGGGAAAAGCTCTAACTCTGGGAGATGAATTAACAGAACACAAAGCAGTTTATCAGAGAGCTTCTTTCCAGTTTTTAAAGGAAGATATTTGCTTTTTCAAAATAGCCCTATAAGGGCTTCCAAATATCACTTTGCGAATTTTACAAGAACAGTCTTAGCGAAAGGATTCTTGAGGGGAAAGCTGTAACTCTGTGAGATGAATTAACAGAACACAAAGCAGTTAGTCAGAAAGCTTCTTTCCAGTTTTTAACGGAAGATATTTTCTTTTTCACCATAGCCCTCTATGGGCTTCCAAATATCTCTTTGCAAATTCCACAAGAACTGTCTTAGCGAAAGGCTTCTTGAGGGGAAAGCTGTAACTCTGTGAGATGACTTAACAGAACACAAAGCAGTTTCTCAGAAAGCTTCTTTCCAGTTTTTAACGGAAGATATTTCCTTTTTCACCGTAGCCCGCTATGGGCTTCCTCATATCACTCTGCAAATTAAACAAGAACAGTTCTAGCGAAAGGCTTCTTGAGGGAAAAGCTGTAACTCTGTGAGATGAATTAACAGAACACAAAGCAGTTTCTCAGAAAGCTTCTTTCCAGTATTTAAGGGAAGATATTTCCTTTTTCACCGTAGCCCTCTATGGGCTTCCAAAAATCACTTTGCAAATTCCGCAAGAACAGACTTTTCGAAAGGCTTCTTCAGGGGAAAGCTGCAACTCTGTGAGATTAATTAACAGATCACAAAGCAGATTCTCAGAAATCTTCTTTTCAGTTTTTATCTTAGTATATTTTCTTTTTCACCATAGCCCTCTAAGGACTTCCAAATATCACTTTGCGAATTCCACAAGAACACTCTTAGCGAAAGGCTTCTTGAGGGGAAAGCTGTAACTCTGTGAGATGAATTAACAGAACACAAAGCAGTTTCTCAGAAAGCTTCTTTCCAGTTTTTAATATAAGATATTTCCTTTCTCACTATAGCCCTCTATGCAATTCAAAATATCACTTTGCCAATATCACAAGAACAGTCTTAGCGAGAGACTTCTTGAGGGAAAAGCTCTAACTCTGGGAGATGAATTAACAGAACACAAAGCAGTTTCTCAGAGAGCTTCTTTCCAGTTTTTAAAGGAAGATATTTGCTTTTTCAAAATAGCCCTATAAGGGCTTCCAAATATCACTTTGCGAATTTTACAAGAACAGTCTTAGCGAAAGGATTCTTGAGGGAAAGCTGTAACTCTATGAGATGCATTAACAGAACACAAAGCAGTTACTCAGAAAGCTTCTTTCCAGTTTTTAACCGAAGTTATTTTCTTTTTCACCATAGCCCTCTATGGGCTTCCAAATATCAATTTGCAAATTCCACAATAACAGTCTTAGCGAAAGGCTTCTTGAGGGGAAAACTGTAACTCTGTGAGATGACTTAACAGAACAGAATGCAGTTTCTCAGAAATCTTCTTTCCAGTTTTTAACGGAAGATATTTCCTTTTTCACCATAGCCCGCTACGGGCTTCCACATATCACTTTGCAAATTAAACAAGAACAGTCCTAGCGAAAGGCTTCTTGAGGGAAAAGCTGTAACTCTGTGAGATGAAATAACAGAACACAAAGCAGTTGCTCAGAAAGCTTCTTTCCAGTATTTAAGGGAAGTTATTTCCTTTTTCACAGTCGCCCTCTATGGGCTTCCAAATATCACTTTGCAAATTCCACAAAAACAGTCTTAGCGAAAGGCTTCTTGAGGGGAATGCTGTAACTCTGTGAGACGAATTAACAGAACACAAAGCAGAATCTCAGAAATCTTCTTTTCATTTTTTATCTCAGGATATTTCCTTTTTCACCATAGCCCTCGATGGGCTTCCAAATATCACTTTGCGAATTCCACAAGAACAGTCTTACCGAAAGGCTTCTTGAGGGGAAAGCTGTAACTCTGTGAGATGAATAAACAGATCACAAAGCAGTTTCGCAGAAAGCTTCTTTCCAGTTTTTAACTGAAGATATTTCCTTTTTCACCGTAGCCCTCTATGGGATTCCAAATATCACTTTGCAAATTCAACAAGAAGAGTCTTAACGAAAGGCTTCTTGAGGGAAAAGCTCTAACTCTGGGAGATGAATTAACAGAACACAGAGCAGTTTCTCAGAAAGCTTCTTTCCAGATTTTAAAGGAAGATATTTCCTTTTTCACCATAGCCCTCTATGGGCTTCCAAATATCACTTTGCAAATTCCACAAGAACAGTCTTAGTGAAAGTCTTCTTGAGGGTAAAGCTGTTACTCTGTGAAATGAATTAGCAGAACACAAAGCAGTTTCTCAGAAAGCTTCTTTCCAGTTTTTAAGGGAAGTTATTTCCTTTTTCATCGTGGCCCTCTATGGGCTTCCAAATATCACTTTTCCAATTCCACAAGAACAGTCTTAGCGAAAGGCTTCTTGTGAGGAAAGCTGTAACTCTGTGATGTGAATTAACAGAACACAAAGCAGTTTCTCAGAAAGTTTCTTTCCAGTTTTTAAGGGGAGATATTTCTTTTTCACCATAGCCCTCTAAGGGCTTCCAAATATCACTTTGAGAATTCCACATGAACAGTCTTAGCGAAAGGCTTCTAGAGGGGAAAGCTGTAATGCTGTGAGATGAATTAACAGAACACAAAGCATGTCCCAACCCGCGGGATCGTCAATGTAGTCCCTAGAAGAGTTAGTGGGAACTCGGGGGGACAAGAGACACGAGAAATGGAGAGAAGACAGTATCCTGATCAAGTCTCGTTTATTGGTGGCAATGTAATGCCTTATATAGACCAGCAAGGGTGGAGCTTGTGCCAGGGCGATGTTGGTGGCCCTGCAGTGGGCATGATCAGGTAGGTATTGGTTTCTTCGGTCGGACGTCATGTTGCGCCTGCGCCGTTGCTTGGTAATTTTCCCGGGCGCGGGATGGCGCCTGCGCTGTAAGTTGATCATTTTCCCGGGCGCGAGAAAATGGGTGATGAAGAACCCAGAAGAGCGCCATTTTGTACTGGCGTATGAGACAGCAGAACAAGGAAGAAAGTAAATCTACGGAGGAGGCATAAAGTGGAAATGTATAGAGCTCAGGCGTCAGTCGTCAGTTATAATCGCTATGGCCGGGCCACGCAGCTCCGGACAGGTCCCCCTTTTTTATTATTTCATGATGAGAGATAGCCCCTAGGGAACTGCGCCTGTCTTAGGTTGGGTCAACTCATCCCCACCTTTTAAGCCCGTCATGGGATTAGGCAGCAGCAAGGGCGGCCCTCCTGTCTTAGGCTCAATTGGGGGTGGTGTCCTCTTACCCGTCATTGACTGTCCAGTTCAGCTCACAGGGGAGGTGGTCTTATAAGGGCGGATAAGACTCACCATGTTCAGACATCTCAAGGCGATGATAATGGAGATGTGTAGGCTTGGCCTGGAAGGCCTCGATTTGTCATCTGACGAATGCCATAAGCTTATTAAGGATTATAGGCCCAAGAGTGAGAAAGAGTAGAAGGGTAAGTAAAGGACCTAAAAATGGTAGGAGAAAAGGGAGAAGTCCGTGGAGTCCAGTCCAAAGCGGATTGGCGGCCAGGTCATTTCTGCGTTTTTCTAGCTCTTCTTGTAAGGTCTTTATTTTGTCTCTAACGATCCCGGATTTGTTAGCATAAAAACAACATCTTTCCTGTAAAGCCAAACAGATCCCTCCCTGTTCTGCTGTTAGTAAGTCTAGACCTCTTCTATTTTGGAGTACTACTTCAGCTAATGAGTCTACCTGATCTTGTAGATCTTGTATAGTACTGGATAAGGTTTGTACATTGGAAATTAATTGATTGGATAATTTAGTATATTGCGTTAGTGAGACTCCTAGGCCTGTAGCTCCTGTTGTAAATGCAGTGGTGATTCCCAGTCCGGCCAACAAGGGAATAAATTGTATGGCCCGTTTTGGTCTATATATAAAATGCTCAACAGCGGGGATGGGGATAGGTTCATCTCCAGGGATGATATCAATGTCAGGGAGAAGAGTGGCTAGAACACAAAGCCCTGTCCAATTTGTGGGTAGATAAGTATATGCCATGTTGTTTCCACAGAGGAAAACCGAGCCATTTATAGCACACAAGGGGCTGGTGATATTGATTATGGAGGTACAGTTGTTGAATACAACGTAGCCTAGATCGATTTCTTCAGTGCTATTGTAAGAGGGTGAAAAGAGGCAAGAAGAATTAGAAAACTTCATTGGTTGAACTAAGAGGGGAGAGATAATTGGACAGGAGTTATTGACCAAGGACTCACCTAAGTAATTGACATAGGATAATGAAAAGTTAGGTATAGCGAGAGGAGTAGGGGGACCCATTTTTAAACAAAGCCAACAATCGTGGGCAAGGCTTGTATTGGACATTTGGAGTAAGTTATAAGTGGCATTAAGGATATCAAAAGTTTGAGCATCGATCATAAGGTTATCTCTAACCTTAGGCAGGGCCAAAGGGTGATATTGAATTTCAGGATACAGGGCTTTATGAATTTCTTCTAGTTTTTTCTGAACAGTTTTAATTCTTGTGGTGTCTAATGGACCTCCCCCATCAGAGATGTGGATAGGGGCTGTAGTGCTCCAGCAAGCAGGCTGTCCTTTTTGGCCGTTACAAGGAGATTGTACAAGTTTATTGGTGGATCCTAATACTTGTACGTCACTGGTACCTCCAGTTTGTTTTTTTAGTAACGTAGCCGTATAGTATGTTTTATTGCCTGATTTGCATTGTTGATATGAGGTGTAGCAAGAACTATGTACAGAGGACTGGAAAGAACTACAGGGGCATTCTTGGAGCGGCCCGCTAGGGGAGGTGTCTCTTGGGGTTGACTTACATTTCCATAGCTGGTTTGGCATTAAGTAAGCTGTCTTGCCCGAGCAAGTCACTTGGAAGATTCTGTCTGACGGAGGTTCAGATACTTGTCCCCCGCCGCAGTCACAAGGCTGGCCGTGTTGCTTTTGTATTAGTTCTATTGCTCTACGAGGGTCATCAAAACCTGCATAGACTGTCACTATGTTATAGAAAATGATTATTTTCCAAAAGAATCTCATGTTGGGCTTCATTTTCTGAAAAACAAAAGGGAAGAAACTTCTCAGGGAGGATTGTTTTCCCTGGATTGACAATGGTTATGATTCATTTGTCTTACCAATCTTTCGGGCAGCCATCTGGCTGCATCATTTTTTTGTGAGAAAATACATACTGAGCCTCTTCCCCAAACTAAAACTGGGTCAGGGCCATGCCATGAATTATCGAGTGGATCTTTCCATTTAACCATTGAAAACTGTTTTTGAGATTCAGGATGCCAGAAACGGTCGGCAGCAGATTTTCCGTAACTGTCCAAATTTAAAAAATTAAGGATAAAGAGGGCATGATTAAGTATGTTTCTGGGGGTACCCTTCACGGGGTACCAGCTCCCCCCTTTTATTTTTTCGATAGTAGTTTTTAATGATAGATGGGCCCTTTCTACTATACCTTGTCCTTGGGGATTGTAGGGAATGCCTGTGATATGTTTAATTTGTAGGGTGTTGCAGAATTGTAAGAAAGTTTTGGCTATGTAACCAGGACCGTTATCTGTCTTAATTTGTTTGGGTATACCTAAGATGGAAAAGCAATGTAATAAATGAGTTATGACATGTTTGGTGGCCTCTCCTGTCTAGAGAGTTGCAATAATGAACCCACTATAGGTGTCTATGCATACATGAATATATTTTAGTTGGCCAAATTCTGAGTGATGTGTAACATCCATTTGCCAAATTTCGTTGGGGATGAGTCCTCGAGGGTTAACTCCTAGATGAGGAACGGGTAAATAAGTTATGCAGTTGGCACATTGTTTAACTATTTGTCGGGCTTGTCCTCTAGTAATTTTAAACATAAGTCTTAAGGTCTGGGCATTTAAATGATGTACGGCATGTGCTTTTTGTGCTTGTTGTAAATTGTCTGTAGTGACTGTGGCTATGGTTTTTGTTGCCATGTCAGCTGTTGAATTACCTTGTACTAAAGGTCCCGGTAATCCTGAATGTGCTCTAATATGTCCAAGGAAAAAGGGAGTAGTCCTTTTTTGAATAAGTTGTTGACATTGTAGAAATAGGTTAGCTGTGTCTGAAATATGTTTAATTTGCGGCACGGTCTCTAAGAGGGGTATTGAATGAGCCAGGTAGGCGCTGTCTGTGTAAATATTAAGTGGCTGACCAGGGAAAGCTAATAATACTGCAATTATGGCTTGTAATTCGACTAGCTGAGCTGATGTATAAGTGGTTTGGAATTTGACAATTGTATTATTGTAGGTGTAAGCAGCGAGTCCTGTGGAAGATCCATCAGTGAAAATTAGTAATGCGTCATTGAGAGGTTCCTTACTGGTAATATGAGGAAATACAAATGCATGAAGTTTGCAAAATTGAATGAGTTTGTTAGGTGGGTAATGGTTGTCAATTGTGCCAGTGTAAGAAGCGCAAGCAATTGGCCAGGCTTCTGTATTTTGTAACAGCCAATGGATGTGTGATTGAGTGTAGGGCTATATAATGGTAGAGGGTTCTATTCCAAAGTATTTTCTACTGTTTTCTCTTCCCAAGATAATTAGATCAGCTATGGCATCATAATAAGGCAACAAAACCTTTTTGGGGGAGGAGGGCAGGTGTACCCACATAATGGGATTGTTTTGCCAGAATAAACCAGTAGGGGTTATTGCTGTGTTAAAAATAATGAATATTAATGGCTGAGAATAATCAATACTGGTAACAAATTGTGTTGTAATGGCATCTTCTACCCGTTGGAGTGCCGTTAATGCTTCTTTGGAAATGGACCTGGGGGATTTTGGATTAGAGTCTCCTTTCAATATATCGAAAAGAGGTTTTAACTCTCCTGTGGTAAGTTTTAGGTATGGTCGAAGCCAATTTATGTCTCCCAGTAATTTTTGGAAATCATTTAAAGTTTTTAGATGGTCACGGTGTATAACGGCCTTTTGATTAATTATTTTGGGTCCGTTAATTTGAAAACCAAGATAGGTATATGGATTTTGTAGTTGTATTTTTTCCGGGGCTATTTGCAGTCCGGCTGTTGTCAACTCTTGTTTGAGTTGGGCAAAGCACTGTAAGACTTGTTCACCAGTCTGTCCTGCTATTAAAATATCATCCATATAGTGTATAATATACATTTGTGTCCATATTTTTCTGACTGGTTCTATAGCAGCGGCTACATATTTTTGACATAAGGTAGGACTATTGGCCATACCCTGAGGTAAGACTTTCCATTGGTAACGTTTCATTGGTTGTTTAAAATTTATAGATGGAAGACTAAAGGCAAACCTTTTCTGATCAGCAGGATGAAGGGGGATTGTAAAGAAGCAATCTTTAAGGTCAATAATGATTTTAAAATATTTTTGAGGAATCGCAACTGGTGAGGGCAGTCCCGGTTGTAAGGCACCCATAAGAACCATAGTGATATTTATGGCTCTTAAATCTTGTAAGAGTCTCCATTTGCCAGACTTTTTCTTAATAACAAAGATAGGTGTATTCCAAGGGGAATTACTTTCTGTAATATGTCCTGCTAGCAGTTGTTCCTGCACTAACTGTTGGGCAGCACTTAGCTTATCATTAAGTAAAGGCCACTGATCAACCCAAACGGGCTCATCTGACTTCCAAGTAATAGGGTCAGTGTACTTTTGGGGTACAGGTATGTCAGTGGCCTGAGTTAAAAATTTCCAAACCCCTTTTTATCAAGTTGTCCTGAGACTGGTATAGGCTGTGGAATACCGTTTTCCTTTTTTCCAAGACCTTTACCAGGGGTGTATCCCTGAGTTAGCATTTGTGCAGTAACTATATCATTTGGGCTGCACATTATAATTTTCATTTGGGAGAGCAGGTCTCATCCCCAAAGATTAACAGGTAAGTGAGGGATGATAAATGGCTTAATGAGGCCTGAATTGTTTTCTTTATCTGTCCATGTTAGGTATTTAGAACTTTGTTTAGGATTACTGCTTTGTCCAATTCCTCTCAGGTGAGTTAAAGTCTCTGTGGTAGGCCAATGAGAGGGCCAATCTTCTTGTTTAATGATGGTTACATCGGCCCCTGTGTCTATTAGCCCAGTAAATGCCTTACCATCTAACCATAAGGTTAGAGAGGGTTTTTGATTTGTAATTGGTTGCACCCAATATATATCTGACGATCCAAAACCTTTTGTATTCCTGTTAGAGTGTTGGATATTATTATCTGTTTTAACTAAGGGTAGCAAAACTAACTGTGCTATTCTCACCCCTTGAGGGACAGTAATAATGTTGTTAATAGCTCTGGCCATGATTTTAATTTCTCCTTCATAATCATTATCGATAACTCCAGGGAGGACTTGTAAACCTTTCATGGTGACACTACTTCTTCCCAAGAGTAGCCCAAAAGTGTCAGGTGGTAAAGGCCCATATATTCCTGTATTTAAGGTTTGTGGTCCCATCTCAGGTGTTAATACTGTGTGGGAGGTGGAACTGAGGTCCAGTCCTGCACTTCCTGGGGTTGCTCTACTAAGTTTTGAAATGGATTGTTGCTGCTGGCTGGAACAAAGCTGACCGCCCCATATGCTTGTTTTGGGGCCTGGGGCTGGCCCCTCACCCCGTTTCCCTGCTGAGACGATAAAGGATTTCCTTGACTATCAATTTTAGATTTACATTCGTTGGCCCAGTGCCTTCCTCTTTTACACCTTGGGCAAAGGCCTGGAATTTTTGTTTCTGGATTTTTATTTTGATTTTCATGGCAATCTTTTGCAAAGTGTCCTTTTTTACCGCATTTAAAGCACCCCCCTTTATCTTTGCCTTTGTTATTGAGGAAGTCTCTTACTGTTTGACCACTAAAGGCGGCGGCCATTGCTAGACCCTGTTGATATGAGGGCCCAATATCTGAACAAAGGCGAATATATCCTGTTAAATCTGTTTTCTTTTGATAAGGTCTGATTGCTGCTTGGCAGGCGGGGTTGGCGTTTTCATATGCCAACTGTTTAACATAAGCACCCCCCTTTATCTTTGCCTTTGTTATTGAGGAAGTCTCTTACTGTTTGACCGCTAAAGGTGGCGGCCATTTCTAGACCCTGTTGATATGAGGGCCCAATATCTGAACAAAGGCGAATATATCCTGTTAAATCTGTTTTCTTTTGATAAGGTCTGATTGCCGCTTGGCAGGCGGGGTTGGCGTTTTCATATGCCAACTGTTTAACATAATCTACACCCGTTTCTGCATTTCCAAAAATTCTACCTGCCGTAGTCATGAGTCTGTGTACAAAATCTGAGAACGGCTCATCCGTTCCTTGTTTGACTGCCGTGAGTGAGGCCCCTGGGTCTCCTTTAACTGGGAGTTTCCTCCAGGCTTTTGTAGCAGCTGCCTGGATTTGTGAAAACAAGCCAGGATCATATAGCATTTGGGCCTGAGTGTCTGCATAGTTACATGAACCGGTTAACATATCAAAATCCCAGCCGTTTCCTGCCTGTTGGTTTCTTTTAGCTGTGTCCCTACAATTTTCAGAAAACTCTGACTTCCAAATTAAATAATCTCCCCCGGAGAGAACTGCCCTAACTAAGGTATTCCAATCTGCAGGGGTGAGGCAGTTATCGGCTACAGATTCCACTATTGCGAGAGTATATGGAGCAGTAGCCCCATATTGAGAAGCAGCAGTTTTTAACTCTTTTATGATAGTGAAATCAAACCCAGTATGATGTCTCCAAGCTTGTCCTTGCCCATCTGTGGTTTCCGTAACTGGAAAGAAGTCTTTGGGGGAGGAGTCTTCTCTATGTCGGCTAGCAACTAACCTTCCTCTTAGAACATGCTGTCCAGGCCACTGAGGTGGGAGCAGGGAACCCTCCATAACGTCTGGGTTAGGTACCTTTTTATTTCCTGTTTTTAATTTTTGGAGCCTAATTATCAATGATTGATGCAACTCCTCAAGTCCAATTTGTTCTTCTAGTTGAGCAATTTTTTGTTTTAATTCTTCTTTGGGATCTACTACTGCCATAACAGTGGGTGCAGAAGCCCCATTACGTGTCCCATTATATGGGGGCGGGCGTGAAGTAAAGGAAGGCCAGTCGGGGTTATGATATTTAGCCACCTCTTTCTCTAAATCATCCCAATTTATGTTTAATTGATCAGGCTTATTAGTTTCTTCCTCTTTTTGAGGTGTTTGTAAAACCGGATATTTTGTTTGTTTGTTTTTGTGTAATATTTCTTTATCTGTTACAAAAGGAGACTTGACTCCCTCATCATTACTCTCAAGGGAAATGAGATCCTCCTCCGTATCTTGCGGAGGCTTTGTGAGGTTAGAGCAGGAACTAACCTTTAGAATATGTTCTGTTTGAGCGACCGCGGCCATGACTTGTGGATCGGCTTCCTTTTTATCTATCAAATCTTTAATGAGATTCCAATAAGAGAAGGCGGTCACAGGAATTTTTTCTGGCCCAAAAGCATTATAATAATCTTGAAAACAATCTCCTACTCTATGCCATCTTTTAATATCAATAGTTCCTTCCTGTGGAAACCAAGGGCAAGTGTCTTTTACAAAATCGAAAAATTTAAACAAATCATAACTTTTAACCTTTACTCCTCGTATCTTTAAAGCCTCTTTTAATTGTCCTACATAGATTTGATGTTGACTTAATTCTTGTCCCATTTCGGACGCGTCACTTACCTTCGATTCTGACGCAGCAGGTTCCCGCGGAGATCGGAGGAGTTTAGTTTCACCTTGAAGACGGTCGACCGTTCTTTCGCGTCCTCTTCCTCACGGAATCCCTCGTTTCCAGGTTCCACGTTGAGGTGCCACGTGTCCCGACCCACGGGATCGTCAATGTAGGCCCTAGAAGAGGGAGTGGGAACTCGGGGGGACAAGAGACACGAGAAATGGAGACAAGACAGAATCCTGATCAAGTCTCGTTTATTGGTGGCAATGTAATGCCTTATATAGACCAGCAAGGGTGGAGATTGGGCCAGGGCGATGATGGTGGCCCTGCAGTGGGCATGGCCAGGTAGGTATTGGTTTCTTCGGTCGGACGTCATGTTGCGCCTGCGCCGTCGCTTGGTAATTTTCCCAGGCACGGGATGGCGCCTGCGCTGTAAGTTGATCATTTTCCCGGGCGCGGGAAAATGGGTGATGAAGAACGTGGAAGAGCGCCATTTTGTACTGGCGTATGAGACAGCAGAACAAGGAAGAAAGTAAATCTACGGAGGAGGCATAAAGTGGAAATGTATAGAGCTCAGGCGTCAGTCGTCAGTTATAATCGCTATGGCCGGGCCACATAGATCCGGACAAAAGCATATTCTCAAAAATCTTCTTTTCAGTTTTTATCTTAGGATATTTCCTTTTTCACCATAGCCCTCTATGGGCTTCCAAATATCACTTTGCAACTTCCACAAGAACAGTCTTAGCGAAAGGCTTCTTGAGGGGAAAGCTGTAACTCTGTGAGATGACTTAACAGAACACAAAGAAGTTTCTCAGAAAGCTTCCTTTCAGTTTTTATCTAAGGATATTTCCTTTTTCACCATACCCTCTAAGGGCTTCCAAATATCACTTGGCGAATTCCAAAACAACAGACTTGGCGAAAGGCTTCCTGAGGGGAAAGCTGTAACTCTGTGAGATGAATAAACAGAACACAAAGTAGTTTCTCAGCAAGCTTCTTTCCAGTTTTTAACGGAAGATATTTCCTTTTTCACCATAGCCCTATAGGGGATTCCAAATATCACTTTGCAAATTCAACAAGAAGAGTCTTAACGAAAGGCTTCTTGTGGTAAAAGTTCTAACTCTGGGAGATGAATTAACAGAGCACAAAGCAGTTTCTCAGAAAGCTTCTTTCCAGATTTTAAAGGAAGATATTTCCTTTTAAACCATAGCCCTCTAGGGGCTTCCAACTATCATTTTGCGAATTCCACAAGAACAGTCTTAGTGAAAGTCTTCTTGAGGGGAAAGTTGTAACTCTGTGAAATGAATTAGCAGAACACAAAGCAGTTTCTCAGAAAGCTTCTTTCCAGTTTTTAAGGGAAGATGTTTCCTTTTTCACCGTGGCCCTCTATGGGCTTCCAAATGTCACTTTTCCAATTCCACAAGAACAGTCTTAGCGAAAGGCTTCTTGTGGGGAAAGCTGTAACTCTGTGATGTGAATTAACAGAACACAAAGCAGTTTCTCAGAAAGCTTCTTTCCAGTTTTTAAGGGCAGATATTTCCTTTTTCACCATAGCCCTCTGTGGAATTCCAAATATCCCTTTGCAAATTCCACAAGAACAGTCTTAGTGAAAGTCTTCTTGAGGGGAAAGCTGTAACCCTGTGAAATGAATTAGCAGAACACAAAGCAGTTTCTCAGAAAGCTTCTTTCCAGTTTTTAAGGGAAGATATTTCCTTTTCCACCGTGGCCCTCTATGGGCTTCCAAATATCACTTTTCCAATTCCACAAGAACAGTGTTAGCGAAAGGCTTCTTGTGGGGAAAGCTGTAACTCTGTGATGTGAATTAACAGAACACAAAGCAGTATCTCAGAAAGCTTCTTTCCAGTTTTTAAGGGGAGATATTTCCTCTTTCACCATAGCCCTCTGTGGAATTCCAAATATCCCTTTGCAAATTCCACAAGAACAGTCTTAGCGAAAGGCTTCTTGAGAGGAAAGCTGTAACTCTGTGAGACGAATTAACAGAACACAAAACAGTTACTCAGAAAGCTTCTTTCCAGTTTTTAACTGAAGATATTTCCTATTTCACCATAGCCCTCTATGGGCTTCCAAATATCACTTCGCAAATTCAACAACAACAGTCTTAGCGAAAGGCTTCTTGAGGGGAAAGCTGTAACTCCGTGAGATGAATTAACAGAACACAAAGCAGTTTCTCAGAAAGCTTCTTTCCAGTTTTTCAGGGAAGATCTTTCTTTTTTCACCGTAGCCCTCTATGGGATTCCAAATATGACTTTGCAAATTCCACAAGAACAGTCTTAGCGAACGGCTTCTTGAGGGAAAAGCTGGAACTCTGTGAGATGAAATAACAGAACACAAAGCAGTTTCTCAGACAGCATCTTTCCAGTGTTTAACGGAAAACGTTTCTTTTTACACCATAGCCCTCTATGGGCTTCCAAATATCACTTTGCAAATTCCACAACAACAGTCTCAGCGAAAGGCTTCTTGAGGGGAAAGCTCTAATTCTGTGCGATGAATTAACAGAACACAAAGCAGTTTCTCAGAAACCTTCTTTTCAGTTTTTATCTTAGAATATTTCCTTTTTCACCATAGCCCTCTAAGGGCTTACAAATATCACTTTGAGAATTCCACAAGAATAGTCTTAGCGAAAGGCTTCTAGAGGGGAAAGCTGTAACTCTGTGAGCTGAATTAACAGAACACAAAGAAGTTTCTCAGAAAGCTTCTTTTCAGTTTTTATCTTTGGTTATTTCCTTTTTCACCACACATTCTAAGGGCTTCCAAATATCACTTTGCGAATTCCAAAACAACAGTCTTGGCGAAAGGCTTCCTGAGGGGAAAGCTGTAACTCTGTGAAATGAATTGCCAGAACACAAAGCAGTTTCTCAGAAAGCTCCTTTCCAGTTTGTAAGGGAAGATATTTCCTTTTTCACCATAGCCCCCTATGGGCTTACAAATATCACTTTGCAAATTCCACAAAAACAGTCTTAGCGAAAGGCTTCTTGAGGGGAAAGCTGTAACTCTGTGAGATGAATTAACAGAACACAAAGCAGTTTCTCAGAAAGCTTCTTTACAGTTATTAAGGGAAGATATTTCCTTCTTCACCATAGCCCTCTAGGGGTTCCAAATATCACTTTGTAAATTAAACAAGAACAGTCCTAGAGATAGGCTTCTTGAGGGAAATGCTGTAACTCTGTGAGATGAAATAACAGAACACAAAGCAGTTTCTCAGAAAGCTTCTTTCCAGTACTTAAGGAAAGATATTTCCGTTTTCACCGTAGCCCTCTATGTGCTTCCAAATATAACGTTGCAAATTCCACAAGAACAGTCTTAGCGAAAGGTTCTTCAGGGGAAATCTGTAACACTCTAAGATGAATTAACAGAACCCAAAGCATTTTCTCAGAAAGTTTATTTTCAGTTTTTATCTTAGGATATTTCCTTTTTTACCATAGCCCTCTAAGGGCTTCCAAATATCACTTTGCGAATTCCACAAGAACAGTCTTAGCGAAAGGCTTCTTGAGGGGAAAGCTATAACTCTGTGAGATGAATTAACAGAACACAAAGCAGCTTCTTAGAGAGCTTCTTTCCAGTTTTTAAGGGAAGGTATTTCCTTTTTCACCATAGCCCTCTATGGGCTTCCAAATATCACTTTGCGAATTACACAAGAACAGTCTTAGCGAAAGGCTTCTTCAGGGGAAAGCTGTAACTCTGTGAGATGAATTAATAGAACACAAAGTCGTTTCTCAGAAAGCTATTTTCCAGTATTTAAGTGAAGATATTTCCTTTTTCACCATAGCCCTCTATGGGCTGCCAAATATCACTTTGCGAATTCCACAAGAAAAGCCTTAGCGAAAGGATTCTTGAGGGGAAAGCTGTATCTCTGTGAGGTGAATTAACAGAACACAAGCAGCTACTCAGAAAGCTTCTTTCCAGTTTTTAGCGGAAGATATTTCCTTTTTCACCATAGCCCTCTAGGGGCTTCCAAATATCACTTTGCAAATTCCACAAGAAGAGTCTTAGCGAAAGGCTTCTTCAGGGGAAAGATATAACTCAGCGAGCTGAATTAACAGAACACAAAGCAGATTCTCAGATATCTTCTTTTCAGTTTTTATCTTAGGATACTTCCTTTTTCTCCATAGCCCTCTATGGGCTTCCAAATATCACTTTGCAATTTCCACAAGAACAGTCTTAGTGAAAGGCTTCTTGAGGGGAAAGCTGTACCTCTGTGGGATGAATTCACAGAACACATAGCAGTTTCTCAGAAAGCTTCTTTCCAGTTTGTAAGGGAAGATATTTCCTTTTACAACATAGCCCTCTATGGGCTTCCAAATATCACTTTGCAAATTCCACAAGAAGAGTCTTAGCTAAAGGCTTCTTGAGGGGAAAGCTGTAACTCTGTGAGATGAATTAATAGAACACAAAGCCGTCTCTCAGAAAGCTTCTTTCCACTATTTTAGTGAAGATATTTCCTTTTTCACCATAGCCGTCTACGGGCTTCCAAATATCACTTTGAAAATCCAACAACAATAGTGTTAGCGAAATGCTTCTTGAGGGGAAAGCTGCAACTCTGTGAGATGTATTAACAAAACACAAAGCAGTTTCTCAGAAACCTTCTTTTCAGTTTTTATCTAAGGATATTTCCTTTTTCACCATAGCCCTCGATGGGCTTCCAAATATCACTTTGCAACTTCCACAAGAACAGTCTTAGCGAAAGGCTTCTTGAGGCTTAAGCTGTAACACTGTGAGATGAATAAACAGAACACAAAGCAGATTCTCAGAAAGCTTCTTTACAGTTTTTAACGGAAGATATTTCCTTTTTCACCATAGCCCTCTAGGGTCTTCCAAATATCACTTTGCAATTTCCACAAGAACAGTATTAGCGAAAGGCTTCCTGAGGGGAAAGCTGTAACTCTGTGAGATGAATTAAAAGAACACAGAGCATTTTCTCAGAAAGCTTCTTTTCAGTTTTTATCTTAGGATATTTCCTTTTTCACTATAGCCCTCTAAGGCTTCCAAATATCACTTTGCGAATTCCACAAGAACAGT